TCAAATGTCTAACTGGTCTATTAGAGGTACAGTTAATATTTCATTAAAGTAAGCATATTTTCAGCATTTTAATGAAAAATCCTATGCAAATCAAGTATGTAAAAAAAAAATTTCCATGGAGGAAAGGGTTAAGTCAGATCTTCAAAATTTACTAAAAAAAAATTTTTAATATTGTTGCCATGGTAACAGATTTATCCAAATATAAAATTAAAATGGTTAAATTTTGGGTTTAATCTTGTAATATCAATTTGTTTCTAAGAAAACAATGAGAGAATTGAATGTACATAAATAATCTGAATGGAAACTTTATTTCTTTAAAAATTGTCTATTTTTTTCCTCATAGCTGCTGCAACAGAAGTATTTCCGTAGCAACCAAAGAAAATTGTGATTAAATTTTGAATTTAAAAAAAAAATTGGTGAAAATATTTAAAAATAAGGTTTTTACAGGTTAATCAAGATGACTCATATATTGGAATATATTATGGAAAATAATATTGTACATTATTTTTCCCTAGCAACAGTTTCTGTTCATAGCAACCAACTGAAATCCTGTATAATAAGTAAAAAATGAACAGTTGACAGTTAGATATTTTGGATGATAACAAATGGAAACTTTTTTATCACAACATTGCTCTTGAAAAAGATTTAACATATGTGTGCTCCTAGCATCCAAATAAGGCCCAAGAATCAGACTAAAAAGTAGATGCTTAGGCCAACAAATTAGAAAATTAATGCATTATTAGTTATCAGATATCTTGTTTCTAAAAGAAAATCTATGATGTTTGTGAAGTTGCTTAACAAAGACCTTTTTGTATACTAGTAGTGATAAATATCACAGTTTGAAAAGGCAATATGAAAATAATAGCATGTGGTATAGTTTCTTTTTATTACATTTTTGTACACCATTTTGCATCTGGTTTTAGTTGTGTTCAATGGAACACTGACACTGTTATTGTTAACAACATGCTGATTATGCATATGCCTGTTTCTCTTTGTAAAGTCCCCTCAAAAATGTAACATCAATCCTGAAATCTAGAAGGGTATTAAACTTTTTCCTATGTTGATATACTGCTGTGCGTTTCATCACAATTTGAATTTATAAAAAAATAAAAACATTATTTCAATTCAGGTTTTTTCCTATAAAGGCAAACCCCTTCCCCTCCAGAAATAACAATACATTAACTTAAAAGAATTCAGCTAACCCCTTCCCCAGGGTTAGGTATTTTCTTTGCATAATTCCTTCTTCTAGATACACAGAAGATTTGAAAGAAAAAAGATGAAGGAAAGGTTCCATTCATTTGTAAAACACGAATCATACATATATGCATATCTTTCAAAATCTACAATAGATAGCCATAACATTGATTGCTTGTTTGTTTCACGTCCAGTGTCAAATATTTCATGCATATTCAGAAGGAGGTCCTTATAAATCCTTATTTGTTTACCTCTTCTCAATGCTAGTCTTCTAAAGATCTTTCTGTAGACTGTTTTGCATACAATAATGAAATAAGGAAATGTGGTAAGATTGCCAATGTGACAACTTTTCAACAGTCCAAATGATGTGGATGTAAGACAATGACCATTCATAGTTTATGTGTTATGCATGTTATGACAAAATGTGAAGCAATCCACACTAGAAAACCAACGGTCTGATTTATGCTAAAAGGGTAAACATATCATATAGTTATAAAGGGACATAACTGAAGAACGGTAAAAGTGACGCTACCCAAATTTGAACTTGATCTGAGTTTTGTGGTAATAAGCATTGTGTGTAAGTCTCATAAAATTTGGTTGAGGTTAACTTAAGTAGAGAACAGAAACTAAAATTCAGCATTTTTTCTATTTGTTAACACGCATAACTCTAGAACGGTTGTGTATAAGTTTTATAACATTTGGTTGAGACAAACTAAAAAATTCAGCAATTTTTATGATAATAAAGGGACATAACACTAGAATGGTAAAAGTGTCGCCACCAAATTTCGTACTTAATCTGTATCATGTAGTAATGAGCATTGTGTAGAAGTTTCATAACATTTGGTTGAGGCAAACTAAAGTTAGAAAATGGAAACAAAAATTGTACTTGATCTTAGTTTTGTGGTAATGAATATTGTGTATAGCATAACTCAATAATGGTAAAAGTGACACTACCCAAATTCAAACTTGATCTATGTTTTGTGGTAATAAGCATTGTGTATAAGTTTCATAACATTTGGTTGAGGCAAACTCAAGTTAGAGAACGGAAACTAATTTTGGGACGTACGTATGTACGTACATACAGACAGACAAGGGTAAAACTTAATGCCCCCCCCCCCCCAAACCGCTACGGCGGGGGCATACAAAAAGGAATAAAATGTAAAAGTCTGCTTTGAATGGCTTGAATCGATGTAGATAGGAGTGCTAAGCATCCATCCAAACAGGAAATTAATGCTCTTTAATGGCTGACTTGACTCATTAGATTGGCAAGAAGTACATATAAAAAAAAGAAAAAAGAAAAAACATGTGATTGAGTGAGTATTGATCTAAGAGTACACTGTTACTGAAAGCTAGTTTAAAGCCAATTAATTATAACTATTAACACTTACAGGGATATTTTTTTTTCTCCCAGGTAACAAAATATTAGTCAGTAACAGCCAGTGGAAGTAGAAAACAAGTTCCTCAAAAATCAACTTGAAAAAAATTTGCAACATACAATGTATGAACATGACATGTTCTTTCATCAAAGTTTATAAGGATACTAATATTATTTAATATCCCTCTTGTTCCTCTACTAAACATTAAGAACAATTCTCTGTAATCACCAAAATATTTCGGCACGCACTAAAAAATATTTGTTTTAAACTTTATTAGTTCAATAGAGCCACATGAGCTTAACAAAAAATATTATTACACTTAGCCCCATATGTTTACCGTTTCCTTGGTAACAGGACTTAAAGTGGCAAGAAAGAGGGAAAATGCAGTGTTTACAAATTATGATCAATTATGTCTAATAAAAAGAAAATAATATAGATATTCAGACATTTAAAACTTTTTTCAGTTTAAAAAAAAAAAATAAAAATTGTGTTCAACAGTAAACTTTCTTTAAAAAAAATCTATATAGCTAAAATAGGGTAAAAAGTGCAATAAAAGGGGGGTTTTAGAGCCTATTTTGATCAGGTGTTGTAAAAAAATGCAGCCATTTCTTATATTGTTGATTATATGAATAGAGAGAATGGATTAAGGTTATACAAGAAAAGAAAAAAAATCAGTGGGCAAACTTGACTGTGTTGAAATTAATTGATCCTGAAAAGTTGAGTTGTCCTGTATTTACCTAATCAAATTACCTCCCTTTACGGAGTTCTCTTGTAGAGAATCAAATTAAAACAGGAGGGAAAATGTAAACAAATGCAGACAACAATGTTATTTTGCGAATTTCTTCATGTTTTATATTCAAGCATAATGGGAAATGGATAAATTTTTCACAGTGATGTTAGCCTACACTTATATATATGGTTAAGTTGGTGTGATTTGCTCATATTTTGAAAATATTGTCAGAACAATGGAACTGTGTCTGTACTAAGACAGTGTATTTATAGTTTATTTTGCTTACCGTAACTAACTTTTTTCATGTATTTATTTATATAATCTTCGAATAATTGTTATAAAATGTGTAGCATAAAAGATTTCGTAGGCAATTGTGACAATTGCAGTGACGACAGGTATTTTTGAAAATGCTTCCATTGGAAAAAGAGACATGTATAAATTTTTGTCAGAAATTTCTTTACTTAAATCTGACATTACATTGTACGTCACAACTGAGGATCTGTGATATAGAAATATTATCATAGAAACAACTAACAAGAGATATAGAAGGAAAAATTGTGGTGTGCCTTCAGTAAATGTCATTTTGAAATATCATAATACTACAAAAGCAGTGGATCGACATGTTACACCCAAGATGTTTCAAAGAATTGTTACAAAGACAGGAACATGTAAGTAGATACTATTTACCTAATACCATTTTTCTTTAAAAAAGATACAGTGATAAACCTCTTATAAAAAAGAAATCAAATGCAGCTGCATGTCAGGTACCCCCCCCCCCCCCAAAAAAAAAAAAACCAAACAAACAAAAAAAACCTTAGGGTTAATATTATCTACCATTTGGCTATGAACCTTAAGCTTATTGTTTTTAGCATGTGACAGCCATATGTACTTCTTTAAAACCCCTTTTTTAAACTATAAAACATAAAATTATGTGAAGTTCTTTGAATCTTGTTTTTGAGAGACAAAAATTATAACATGAATGCTGTTTCACGTTTCCTTTCCTTTACCAGATTTGTAAGGTTTTGTACATGATAATCACATCATTTCAAACCGGTCCTTATGAAATAAAAAATGTTGCAGCAACAATGCGGCTGCTGATCAGGTTGCCAGAAAATTGATGCCGGATAAGTGCTGAATGATGCCGCTAGCATCATTCTGGCTACATTGCAGCGCTATTTCCTTTCATGACAAAAAGCGCCACAATGTTGCCATAAAGCACACATATGATTTTCTCATTCTTAATCTACTTAAATGATGCCAGAATAGAACCAGAACATTAATAATGTCATTGATGATGTCACCAGTGTTTGAGCTTTTTACTGTGGTCATGGTGGTGTGTTAGAAATGGACCATATGTTGCTTGAGCTTATGATTTTAGTGAAGAATTGGGTGTTCTGTTATTGTGAAGACTTGTATGTAAACTTAGATTAACATGATTAATTAAATGCATTATATAAAAGTTCAATCTCTCATTTAATTAAATCAAGGAAATTGTCTTCTTCCTGATAGACCTGGAGAGCATTTTCAAAAAATCCTAATTAACAGGGACGAACTATCATCTAATGGGGCGAATTGGTACCTTCTGAAACATAAGTCATGGTTTCTCTTCCCTTTCTCAATTTAACCCTCGCTAAAATTTTACAGACCATGCTGAAAGAAGTTTGGTCAATTGTGTCTTTGTAACCCTCTAAAAACGGCTTGAAAGTGCTATTTGTTTGGAAAAAAATGTAGTATAATCACGAATTTAGATTGCTAATCAGACAAAACACAACACCTTTGACTGAAGTGAAGGGGCTCCTGTTGGGATCATGGAAATTATGTTGGTGTTATTGAAGGTATAGATGTTGCATGTTTACAGTTCATGAGTTACACATTTTAACTTTCCTTTTCCTCAATGTGGGAAAATTAAGTACATTACATATAGGAATAACTTTTGAGGACAGAACTTTACTTTCTTTAAAAGAAAAAGTTATAATAATAATCCTGAGCACACAAACAAATCATAACGTTAAAACTTTTTCTCGGGTATACTTAGCACTAAACTTGCCTGGTCAGAGACCGTCAGACGTTACTTTACCTTTTTAGTCAATAATTAAAGGAAGCCAGAATTTAAAGGCATTAGTGCCGCAATAGTGCATGAAAACTAATTTGCATACAAAATAAAAAGCAATATCTGCATTGAAGCCACAACATGTTGTGGCAACGAAGCCACAGCATTTTCTGGCACCAGTGCCAGAAAACTAATTTGCATATGAAATACGCTAATGTAGCATCATTGCCACAACATGTTGGTGCAATGAAGCCGCAACATAGCCCTAATGTTGTCACAACTACATGTATGCGACAGAAGGCTTATATTCCGATAAGGGCGCGGACAGCCTTCTTTTATTCATTTTTACTTGAGATACATGTATGTTTTAAAATTCATGTTTTTATGTACATACATGTACATGTTTATGACCCAACAAAAAAGTATGTGGGTTTACTGTACACCTACCTATCCTAATTTCAGTATATGACCCAACAAAACAGTATGTGGGTTTACTGTACCCCCTACTTACCCTAATTTTTGTCCCCTACCCTAAAGTTTTTTTGATTAAGTACTGTTAAAGTCACAATGTTGCTCCCATAGACTCAATGTAAAAAAAAAAAATCCCTACCTACCTGCCTTTTTTTTTCAGCAAGTGACAGTAAACACACATCTTTTTTAGTTTGGCCTAAATAGTTTTGATAGTGATACACAGAATGAGATCAATTGTGTATCTATTTTCTTTTATATTACAGCAATTTGTAGACTGTGTAGAGAAAAACTATTTGGAAATAACAGTATTGAGCATGTTGAGGAGGTATGTCTTTTCATATACATGTATAAATATGAGTCCCTGTACACATGTATACTCAATAGTCAATAGTGAGTTTATTGTTATGTCATGTATGTATGGGATCCATATTGTAACTACATGTCAAACTGCATATGTACTCAGTTTTACAATGACAAGGATAAGAAGATCTTTCAATTCAGAAATAACATTAAGCTTTAAAGTTCCAATTTGGTCTTTATATTCACTAAGCTTTTGCACATTTTATTTGGTAAACTAGTTTCATCATTAAGCATTAGTAAAAAATCTATTAAAATAAAAACCAAGGTTTTAATTGATCTAATTTACATGTACACTTAGGGCCAATAGGGGTTAAACTATGCATTCATGCATGCATAATTGAGGGTAAATTAAGGGTAAATTTCTAAATCGTTTGTGTATAAAACATACCTCAACTGAACCCTAACCCATTCATATATTACTAAACCCTCTAAGATAGGTTGGTTTTTGCTTCAATATTATCATGTGTATTCCAGAATTCATTATTGCTCCAATTTCAATTAGTACCTTGTTTAAAATATTCTTAAAAAGTTTTTCTTTTCTTTTAATTTAGGAGAACACTATTGAGACAAATACAAAGAACAAGATTGCAGAAGCTGAAATACTACCACCTTAAAGAAAGAGGGTAGGTATAACTGTATATAAAATAGTATCATTGCATACACTTTATAAGATGTCTCATAAACTTGACTTTATAAGATATCTTGTAAAAGTATTTAAGATATCTTGTATAATATCATATTATTACATGGCATTTTTCATATCGCATGTATTATCAGCCCTAGGTTTAATATCAGCCCAAGAGCCGCATGGCTTGAGGGCTGATTTTGGCCAAGGGCTGATAATACATGTGATATGAAAAATGACATGCTATGATCTTTTTATCATATGCTTCAACAATGGAGAAAAATAACAGATTAATATATTGATCTTTTTACGTGGTTCTAAAATAGCAGTTCAAAGAGTGAAATATTATAAGTTACATAGTGTGCTAGTGACCTAATACGGTATATATGGGGTCAGTAAATTCCATATGGGATGAGAGCAAAGCTCGAATCCCCATATGGAATTTACTGACCCCATATATACCGTATTACGTCACTAGCACACTATGTAACGAATTTATCTTACCGACTATCTTAACGTGTGAAATTTTGACTAGTGACCTATCAAAATGAGCACTGATGTTTTCAATACTTTTAGCATAAAGAAACTTCTCTCATTGATCCTACAAAAACAGCTGCCAACAATAAAAACTTGTTAGGTTTAAATGTGTTTTATGAATTCGTTTCAATCTTAATCATCAATTTCTTCGTCTGTTGAAATCTTTAAGATGTTTTCTCAATACCGTTTTTTTTTTATAAAGGGACGCAACACCACTACTAACTGTGTATGAAATAAGCCCCTCCTCCTTTCTAACCTTATATGGAATATAAAGGGGACATAACTCCACTACTAACCGTGTATGAAATAAGCCCTGCCTACCTTCTAACCTTATATGGAATATAAATGGACGTAACTCCACTACTAACCGTGTATGAAATAAGCCCCGCCTCCCTACTAACCTAATATGAAATATACACAGTCTCCACGCGGACGCTTTAAACCAATCATATTCCTAGAAATGTATAGGAGGTAAGATAATCACGGATGTCAGACCCTAAATGTTGTACAAACGATATGAAATCTTTCTATTATATGCCTCAACAATGAAGAAAAAAAACCAGTATGGTATATTTTAATACGGACGATAAAAAAATAATTCAACAATATACATATACATTTTTAAAGTAACTTTCTTAATTATGTTAAAAATGCATTTATTTTATCATTTGTTTATTTTTTGTTTTTTTCCATTTTACACAATATACTTTCCAGTATCCAAATAATTGTTTTGTACCCTACTTTGTAATGTTTTTCACTGAAAACGTACCATTGAGGTGTATTTTCCAGAATTTGCCAAGTATTACCGGAATGCCATGCGATAACGTTACGGAAAGGCATGTGATAAAAGTCGAAGCAATGTTTGTGATAAACTTTTCATATCAGACCGCTAAGCACCAATTTGAAAAAATATGGAATATACGTAAATGTAATGCTATTATCATATGGTAAAAATCATATGTTATTTAGTCTAAGTATATGATAATATATTTTTATATCTTTCATGAGATATCTTATAAAGAAGTTTATAAAGATATCTCATAAACTTTAGAAGATATAAGATTTTCAAGATATCCAATTAGGAGCTAACTGTATTGAATTTGCAGATTTGGAGCCATCAATCATGGATTTGATGGTTGCAAATTGAGTTTACTAGCGACACGTTAGCGGGGCCAGTAAACGGATATTTGCGACCATCAAATCATAGATTGATGGCTCCAAATCTTCAGATTTATATATACCCTGAAAATTACGACTTTATCCAATGAAATTTGACGTACGTACGTTATAACGAATGTTGCATTAGAATGAATGTTATAGGACATCTGATATAATTTATAAGATATCTTATAAAACAATTTTATAAGATCTCTTATTGTCCCCCACCTGAGGAAACATAGAAATGCCGGTGTCCGTGCATCCGTCCGTCCAAAATCAGTTTCTGAACCCTAACTTTTGAACATCTTCATATAATTTTTTCAAACTTACACAGTTGAATGTTTATTAGGTAAGGAAGATCCCTATTGATTTTGATGTTTCTAGTCATTCAAAGGTCAAGGTCACAAGTGCTTTATGAAAATATTATATTTTAGCACCAGTGGGGAGCCTACTCTTGTTTAGTTTATAAGATATCTTATTTATTTTATAAGATATCTCATAAATTAGATATAAGATATTTCATTAACTTTATTTGATATCTTATCTTTTTATTCAGATATAGGAGTCCTATAGTAATCAGCTTTCCGTCTGTCCGTCACAAACAGTTTTCACAAAATAAATCAAAAAGGCTATCACAAATCAATGTGAAAGTTTGATAGCTACCTATCAAAAAGCAGGGATATCACTAGTGAGCAATGACTCACAGCACATCTTGTTTTATATTGTGTCTATCAGAATTCATTTAGTATCCAATCTTTTGTAGGCACTTGATAAAGTACCCGGGAAGCGTTACAGGGTGAAGGTTGTTGACACAATCCTTGATTTAGATGTAACCAAGAATAAAGAAACAATAACCAATATTACAAGTTTTTACAACTTTAGATTTGAGAGCAGTTATTTGAGGATGTGGCAGACATACAATATTGATGAAGGTATTACTTTTATATTCAATATAAAGAAAAAAACAGATTACAAATAACATATAGTTTTAAACATAACACAACCACCGAAAATACAGGGTCTGGCTTGTACACAGGTGGGTAAAAGAAGTCTATAAGTACTCAACCCTCCTCCGAAATCCTGGTTCAGATGTTAAAAGTATATAAAGACAATTAAAAGCAATACCAATACTAAATTCAATAAGCTCAGCACTTCATCTTAAAACATACAAAATTAAATCATCTTAATAAAAAGGTTGCATTGAGCCTATTGATAAAAAGACCACAAACTCCTAGACTAGAATGGATGCTATAAAAATTCATGTAATTTTATATCATAACGACATAAAAAATCTATAGAGTTCATGATCTTGAAGTTGGTTATTTTTTTTAAACTTCCATATTGATCAATTTAACAAACAATAAAATGAATACAGGTTCTTTAATTACAATTTTCATTTCAGGAATGCTTGTGACTTTAAAATTAACAAAGAATTCTGTGCAGTTAAAAGTACTCAATGACTGGACAGAGATGTCTTTTAATGACCTCATTACTGAAGGTAATTTTATAATTATTTCATTTACTAACTGTCATGTACAAAACTTAAGCACACTTGTAAGACAATGATCATTATAACAACCGAGAAAAACCAACACAAAACTCAATAAACATTGTTATGCATCATTTAAGTTCCCTGCTTGTGGGTTACAGGATTATGGGTATCTTATTATAGATAATCAGGCTGTCCATTGTTGAAAGAGAAATTTATACATGTTGTAATGTTGTCCTTTTTAGGTCACCTGGCCCATTTTCTGATACAACTGGGCCAATTGGAACTGAACTTGGTTAATGTAGTAAATTTGATTTTTTCTATTTTTTTGGGAAACAATTTTTATTTTATTTATCCTCTTTTTAGGAACAGAACAGGCTTCAAAACAACAGATGCAGACATTCATTTGTTCTGTGGATGGCTGCATTCAAGAGTTCAAGAACCAGATTAGTCTTGATCAACACCTCCTTCAAGGCAGCTGTGAATATAAGCTAGAGAAAGGCCCATTAAAAGATCAGGCAACAGTTCTATATGCCCAAAAGCTGTCAAATAATGTACATCATTGTCCTGATATGCAAGCAGTCTTACTAGAAAATGCATGTACTACAGACTTAAGTGCCAAAGAAATGTGATGGGCATTAAATATTGAAAGTGAAAAAGAAAAAGATTTTCTTTAGCATCAAACAGAAAGAATTCATGACGGATTTATTTTATTTATCTTGAAAGGATGCAAGAAGCAGCCATATTGGATTCAACGACATTATATTTTCCCAATAAATAGGCGAAAAAGAAAAAAAAACGCCTACCTTAAACTACTTTTTAATAGCTTATATCCAAATTTGAAGCGTAAACAAAGCCCAAAACATACTATGTTACAGTTTTACACTTGAAGTATTCATATGACGTCATGATGTTGCTATGAAGTTTATGTGCCAAAGAAGTCAACAACATTTTGTGGAATTTTTATTTTAAGCAAATATATGTCCAAATAAAAAACAGAAACAATATCTCTATTGACTATTGCATTAGAATGGATATAACTGTATTGTATTTTAAGGTTTGTGGACGTAAATCTAGATTTTACTGTTGCAATTATCTGTTTACCTAGCTCTGCTACAGGTCGCTAGGTAAACTCAATTTGCGACAGTAATATCTACGTTTTATGTATGAAAAGGTTAAAATACAATACAGTTATCTCCTAAATTACCTACACATGATTGCACCAATATGAGTTTAATATAATGAAATTTGCATGTACTTAGAAGGTGTTTTACTTTATTTTAAATATTTAAGTCGGACCAGCATTTTACCCACATTGCTTTATAAATAGCAAACTATGTTGATCTATATCAGTTAAAAACTAATATGCACAATCAGTTCTTTCTTCCCTCTGTATTCAATTACAACATTAAATCTTTAAAAAATGTAAAGATACATACTTAATTTTAGAAAGAAAAAAAAATTGTAAAATTTTCGAAATTCGGTTACCATAGCAACCATTTTTATTAAATTTCATCAAACAAAACTATTTTTCTGGACTGAAAAATTTAACTGATCAATTTTGTTAAATTGTAAGAAATTTAATGCCATCTTTGTATTGTTTAAATATGGAAATTACTTGGATCATTATTGACTTGTAGAAAAATACAATTTACAGAATTTGAAAATCTTGTGTTTTTCGTTCATTAAAAATATTTTTTGCAATTATTTGCCCATTGATTTTATTTTATATTCTGGAAGACCTATTTTGGTTCTTTCTAAATATACCTAACATTTTACTAGGAGACGCTGCATTCAAGAAAAAAATTCACTTGAATACCCTGTATTTACGCATTTTTCACTGAAATCCAAATTTGCCATTTTAGCATATCTTTATATTACTAGCTGGTAGCAAAATAACTGATATTGGTAAAAGTAAAACATATGTGAATTTCAAACAGCTTAAAGGTCAGTTATATTATATTATTCAGAAAAAAAGGATATGTTACACGTAAATTAAGTACTAAACAGTGCAAAATGTCATTTTTTCACTTTTTCAAGAGTTAAAATATGACCTTTTATTGCTAAAATCAACCTATGTGGTCACCAGGGCAACCGGAATATTCCGGAACAATTTGTTGCCTGTTATTGCCTTTAGGTATGGTACTGGCTATTATATAAAAGTTTCATCAAAATCTGAGACCATGTGTGCCAGACCCTATTAGAATTTCTTTGGTGGTTACAGAGAATTGCTCTTAATAATAAGATGTGCTGATCAGTTGGTTGCTTAAATTTAAGGTAGCTTTTAATCAAATGAGTAACTACATTTTACTTCTATCTCGCATTTTGATTCTCTGAAACCCGAAATACGGCGAAAATCGTGAAGAGAAAAATGCACGTATGTCGGACATATTTTGTAAATGGGAAGTGAACCGCAAAGATAAGCAGGTTCTGTAATTTGTTAGTCAAATTGTTACTACTAAAACAAAGTGGTTCACGGAACCATATGCCTCCATAATTGTTGAAATAAACATCGCGGAAAAAATATTAGTGGGCGGGGCTTAGAATCACAACTTACGGATGCTGAATATTGTTGCATAATTCGCTATTCTCGTTAATTTAATTGAAGAACTTAAAATAATTATGATTGAAACTTAAATGTCACTTTCTATAAGCAAAAACATTGAAAGATTGTACGTTGAATGATTTTTTTGTGGTCATTAAAATTTGTATGTTCCCGCCCACTTAATGACTCGCCGGAAGTCGTATATATATACATGGGATTCCCCAAACACATGTTTACAGTTTACAAGTTGCTATATTTGTTCACTCAATGGGTCAGAAAAGAATTGTATGGACTCGACTGCATATCTCCGCGTTGTTCATTAAATTTCTGATATTTCAAAGTAAGTTTAAAAAAAATGCTTTTGTTGCAATAATGTACGACTCCAAAGCGAGAAAAGCGGCAGTGAACACTCGGAGTTTCAAAATAAAGTATTTCTTACGGAAAATAATTTTTTACGCAAACTGTATCGTTAACATTGATTATTAGGTATTTTATAACCAGTTGGTATTAATAACCAACAATAAATGTAGTTAAGGTGGCTCACCCCAATAAGGACCCCCGGTAGAATTTTTTTATTTTCACATATTTTGTAGATTTTTTTATGCTGAATCCAAAAATGCAAAGAAAAAAGGGGGTCACCAGGCTCGTTTTCTCCTCAAATGGAAGCGAAATGTGCGATTTTGACCCTATTTCCAAACTTTTACACCCTTTCAACAATAACGACTACATCAAATTCAAAGACTTTTAGAACCATGTCAGTATGATTATTATGTGAAAAAACAATTAAATTTGAAATGTAAACGTTCCCCTTGGTTGTTTTAGACTTTAAAATCCTTTTATTTTCAGATTTATGTCTAAATTTGGCATTTTTTAATTTCAGTTTAAGGCTAAAAATATTGGTTAAATCGATTTTTCGTAAAATTTCCCCGGTAGATTTTTTTAAAAAACGGATATGTCAAAGCTATGAACTTTTCAAGCATTTTAAGGTAAAATAAAATGGGGGTCACCAGGCTTTTAAAAAAGTTACGAGCTTTTGTTTAACCCCTCTACCCCATGAGGTCTGATTTCAATGCACTCCATTAATTACTTTATTGTGATTTTTTTATTGGTGTCTTTAAATAAATAATGTTTGTAATTATATCAATGGACGAAAGCTGAATATAAATGTGATGAACATTTTACTGTTTGTTATAAAAAAGCGAAATTTTGATTATTTTGGTGAAATACGGTAATTTTGTCTGGCGCGAGTTACTTCCCTCTAATCTGGCGCCATAATCGGACAATCGTAAATATACGTTGATAGTGGGGCTTCCCATGGATAGAAACAAGTGCCTGTGATGTATAGCCTGTTTTGAAAAAATATCCGTGTCAAACAGTCAAAGAGGAGGGGATATTCACATTTTCAGCATCTCATGATCTGCGCTACCGTTAGCGTCAAATGAGTCTTGATTTTATATCGTCATTCGTAAAATCTAATTTCGTAGCCACGTTAGGGTCAAATGAAATTAAATATTTATCGTTAGCGTCTATAATGACTAGTAAAACAGGTTGGGAACAAACCCTCTATATGGTGTTTATACCTGTATAGAGGGATAAGCCTTCTATAGAGGGATAAAATGTTTAGACTGGATTTAAAGCAAAATAGGGCAGAATGGCATTTTCTAGTTATATTTGCTATAATTTATAGCACTATTTATGCATCAATTATTGCACTTTACTGTATTCTGTATTTCTTTTACTAAAAAATGGCCTGTGATGCCCAGTTTTCTGCTAAAGTGACAGAACTTGCAATCTACTGTATACCTATCTGAACACCTGATCAACAACAAAAGGGACATGCAGTTGACCTTTAAATTTTATGTTAAATCTAACAATAGAAATTCTGTTCAGTGAGGCATAACTGAGTGGAATTTACTTGATCATCAC